AGTGGGAGCGAGTGGGAGCGAGTGGGAGCGAGTGGGAGCGAGTGGGAGCGAGTGGGAGCGAGTGGGAGTGAGTGGGAGCGGGTGGGAGCGAGTGGGAGCGTGTCCGAGCGGGAGGGAACTGGCGTTGGGCACAGTTTGGCATCGCCGGCGCAGCGAGTGAGCGACGCGACGGTGCGTGGGCGGGCGGCCGCGCGTGGCGTTCGCACCTGCGTTTCAGGCGCGCGAGCGGCCCACGCCCTCGGACGCTCAAAGCCAACTTTACGGTGGCGGCGCCCTCGCGGGCGTCCGGCAAGCGTTACTCGACTTTCGGGTGTCTTAGATGGGAGAGCGACCCGTGTAAAGCGGCAGACCGCCCGCCTTCCATCTGTAAGTATGGGGTTCAAATCTCGACCTATTCATATGGGATTTTTGGTGGGCAAAGCGGATTCACCTCACGTCTCTCGAGGTTCCCCTGTTTCCCGGCATCTCATTCCACCATTGCTTTAGTGTCACAATAACACGTTCACCAATCCTAAGAATATTTGGACTACGAATTAGTAAGAATGAGATTCATTACACACACACACAAAATTATATTTGTAATGATGTAAATGTTCTAAACATATTTTAGTGTGTTAGAGATGATGAAGATAAATTTGAGATGATACGTATTTTTTTTATTGTTTTACATATAATATTTTTTGAGTTTTCGCCAGACAGATAAAAATTCTTATTTTTACTAATGATTTCATTGTTGTTGTCTTTTGTTTTTCCCTTACAAAACTATTGTTATACGTTATAGGGTTTGCAAATTACTAGACCAGACGTACATTTGCCTATTTTCGTTGTTGGTTTGCTTAAATCGAAAATAAAAACTTCATATATAACCTACGCATGTGCCACTACTAGTAATGAACAGCTCAGATCGTAACATCAGCAAAGCCCGTCCCGGAGACAACAGGCGCCGAAGACAAGCGCCGCGCGCTGCCCCCGCCCCCGTGCGTTTGGTAAGAGGGAAAGTGCGGCGAGCAGAAATGAATTACGCGCCGTAGGGCGTGGCGGCGGTGGGCGAGCGATCACGAAGGTCGTTGACTCGCGACGAACAGAAAGGGAACGCAGCCAATGACAGTCTCGCCTTATACGGTCGCAAATAGCGCACATTCCCGAGGCTTTCCGCCGATCGCCGTTCGCGGCAGTTTGCGGTGGGGCGGGCGCAGCAGAAATGAAAGGGAGGTGCAAAGGTGAGAAAACGACGAGATTTGTGGCTGGATGGAATTACTCGGTGCAAACAACTGGGTTGGGACAACAGGATATGCCCCGTAGAAAGATTATCGATAGAAATTTTAGCCGAGGCTGAGGGCTTTGAACAGCTGTGATTTTCGTTGTTTCCTCTCTTGCGCGGTTGGCAACGGGTTCAGATTAGCGTTTCCTGTACTGTGAGAGAAACCAGACGATAATGTGTCGGACTAGGCGTAGTTGAAGCGGCCGAGAGAGCAGCACCCCGGCCGCGCCAATCGCCTTCGCTTTGAAGGGAGGTCCAAAGGGGAGAACGGCGTACTTTGAACACATTACTCGGCGCAGTAACATAATGGGACTTTCTGATAAAAAACATACCGGATTATGCCTTTTTCAAACATTTTTTTCGGCTATGGGTCTAATGTAATACTCGTTATCTTCTCGGTTAGAGATGCCTTCACAGCAAAAAGCCGTATATTGATCCGAATACAACACAACGTTGGCTCGGGTTTGAGGCTTCCGCGGCCGGAGTCAATGTATTCTTGGCTATTCGGGATGAGCCGCGTCTCGGTCAATGGAGTATAGCTCTGAAGAAGGTCACAGCAAGATGTCTGAAACGTCAGTACCATTGACCGAGACGCGGCTCATCCCGGATAGCCTGGAATACAACGTTGGCTCTGATGTTAGCACCATTGACGTAAACTAGAAAATAATTTACCGATCTCAAAACTCTTAGGTTTACACTTTTCGCTTTCTTTCCACAAATTTCGTAATTTTTCTTTTATTTCTTCTTACATTTCAAAAAATTAGAGAACGAAAAAAATTTTCTCCTACAGATTTTGAAGCACTAAACCAATTCTGTGTAATGTCAACCTTGTTTGACATGATGTATTTTGTAAATTAACAAAGTAATTTGTATGATAAACTGACACAACTTCATTTATGAATGACTGAATTTGAAAATTGTAAGGCAAGAAATTCAGAAATTTCAGAAAAATACTGTAAACATTAAATGAAAATTAATATGCAACGTTATGCTTAACTACATACTAATAATATATATTTTGATAAGACATAAAAACGGGCATATATTTTTAAACATTAATCAGAGAATGAAACACTTTGATAAAAAGTAATGAATCCAATGAAGATAATCAAGTAACAAATATTTTTTGATAGGGAGACTTCATTTTGTTCTGCAATTATGTGGAATCCAACAATAATTTAGAAACAAAACTTAAGAAATAACATGTTGTCAGGATCTTACCATCACTTAAAATTTAAAAGCCACTCCGTTCAAAATAGTACATGAAGAAACCATAAAGGAGCTGGGATTGGCTATTCTTAGACCACAATGAAGTGCGAAAGATGGAAATCCTTCATGTGACACCACACGCCAGAAAATAGTTGCGGTGAGACAATATTCAGCAAAACAACATCTCCAACAAAACAGTTCTTATCGCATTAAATGATCGTACATACTTTCTGTCTAGCGGGGCGGAAAGAAGTTACAATTCCAGATCAGGTAATTCGATACGTAACGTAAATCAACTCTCATTAATTTCTGGTTCAGATAATAGTACCTTTCCCAATATTAGTTCCCGTAATGATACCGTTCGCGACATGATAGGGCTACAGCTGAATTATATTATGGTCGTGCACTGCTGTTTAAAACGCACACCCATGGCCTGTGCTATACCCCGGTACATGATCTCTCTATCGTGAATCGTTTTTATGAGACACATGAACTCGCCCGTGTGCGTAGTTACCGAGCGAATCGCTGCGGTTATTACTGATGAGGGTCCGCTGAATCACCAGGAAGAGAAAGAAGCTATCAAGAGAGGGCCGGTGGAATGCTACGTCGATTGAAATAGCTATCAGTCGTTGGAGCAGGTTGCCCCAACACGTACACCTTTGCTTGCACACGTACATCTGGCATACGGAGCCAATTTCATTAATGAAAGGAAGTAGGAGATAACCTGTAACAAACTGCCTTGTGGTTGTATTAATAAATAAGTACGGTACATATCTCTGAATTTCCCCAAGTAAACTAGCCGCACACTTTATGTGAAAGTGATTAGTTTTATATGTCCTAATTGTCTCGTGCAAACGAAAATATAAGTCTTCTAAAGTTGATACCACAAAAGAGAAGAAATAAAAATATTTCATCAAACGGCATTGTATGAGACCAGAACTGACAAGCATTACAATTGATGAATTAAAAATACAAAAAAATTAGGCGACCAATTCTTCAAACAATCATTACAAGGTTAAGTGTGAATTCGAAATGTTGTATAACTTATTAAACAATTAAAAACCGTATTACTCGTACATAGCATATTACACAATAGTTACGAACTGTATCAAATAATATTTTAAACAGACGTCAAAACAAATGTCTTAGGTTAATGTTTTAATAATTAATCGTATCTCATATTTATTTGCCGATGCCGAGTTCCATCGAAATGGAGCATGCAGGTTCCAATCAGATACAAAAAAGAGAAAACGAAACGAAAACTGCATTAACTAAAAAATAACCTTCCAAACACCACGTTAACAATCATACTCCTCTCAAGCATTTAGCGATATCTTTACGATCCTCACATGCAAGTAACTTGACGCATTAATCAGCGCTGTAGCTCGCAAAGTAGTTGCAACGACAGGGAAAATATGTGCGCGACAAACGTCAGAATACTTAATGCAAGTAGCGGGATTTAATGCCAAAAGTCAAACAGCGCCTCCGAGGAGGTTAATACCCTTAGTCGATAGTTATTCTTTGACGACTTGACTGGTGTAAAAGAAAATGTATCATTTACAGATTGCCTACGAGTATACTGGTGCTATATCTGGGCCTCTGTGAAGAGAAGCAGTTCAAGGAATTAATGTAAATTATTTATATGTACGGTATTAGGGTGAAAATTGTTCAGAAAATTCAAGGAGTAAGATAAAATATGAAAGATTGTCGGTAATAGGAAAGTATAAAAAAATTGGTCAATCGTGTCTCTGAAAAAAGCAAAAAGGGAAAGGAATGTCTAGCGATGTTACGTACTTCGCGTATCCAGGACATTTCTAATGAAGTAGCGGTCCAATGGTCTGCACATTCTATATAAGCGCTTTCTTAGTAAGGCGGGCTGGAAGTGCAAAACGTTCTTAGCTCTTAGCAATATGCGGCACGCAAGTCATGTGCAGTCTTTAATTTTATGATTTTTCCGAAAAAAAGGAACAACAAAAGAAACAAGTTCCTAACCATAAAACGACGATATTTTAAAGAAAACATTAAAAGAATATTAATTTAAAATCATGGAAGACAAGGAAACAGAAGATGAAATGGAAAAAACAAATATGGAAAAGTTTAAGACTGAGAAGGTTAAGAATCAAAACGCAGAAATACAAGAGAAAGAAGAAGTTAAGAAGATAAAGTAAATAAAAAATGAAGCATATAAAGTATCATAAAGAAAGAGTGAAAACTTGAAAAAAAAACGAAAAAAAAAAACGTGATAAAGAAAACTATATAAATGAAAATTATAGTAAGATGAAGATGGTCTCAAATTTGAAAAGTATTTCATTGAACGCTTCCGGTGAATACTTCACAGAAACCTTGAAAGCACCCAAACTCAGGTACCAAATTTTCCTTGTTACATATTCTGTAAAAAAATTCCCCAGTAGCAAAGCAAGAACTCCTAAAAAGACATCTATTGAGTAGCTGGCGCGCCGCGGAGCGCCGGTTCGGGTTAGTTCCCGCGAGTGCCGCCGGAGCGGGCGCTCACCGCGTGGTCGCCAGCGCCCTCCAGCTCGAGGATGCGGAACTCCTGCAGCTCGGCCAGCTCGCGCAGCTCCTGCGCCTCGGCCTGCATCTGCTGCAGGCGCTCGGAGGCGGCGCGGGCGCGCGCCTCGCTGCGCTTCAGGCGCAGCTCGAGCGCGTGGTGCGAGCGCTGCAGCTCCGCGTGCTCCCGCGCCAGCCCCGCGTACAGCGAGTCCTGCGCACCACACAAGCCACTGTAGCAATTGCTAACGTCACCACCACCACCAATAATAATAATAATAATAATAATAATAATAATAATAATAGCAATAACAAAAATAATAATATTATTATTAATGATAAGAATAATAATGATATCATCAGCCTAGTCGGAAATCTCGATTCACATATGTAATCCTTATCCCTCCTAATATCCTCCCTCGTATGTGTGCTCCCATTGTTACCCCCATTCACATCCCAGCTACATACAAGAAAATAATAATAATAATAATAATAATAATAATAATAATAATAATAATAATAATAATAATAATAATAATAATAATGTCTTCATTTATGGGGAGACTCAGGCCATAGGGCCTGCTCCTCCGCCTTACCACTGAATTTACATACATATAGAGTAGTAACATTTTAAGAGGGGAGGACAAGCTGTACATTTACGTCTGGGAGAACAAATCAAGGGACCATCCCGGCGTACGCCTTAAGCGATTGAGTAAACCCAGAAAACCATAATCAGGATGGCGGCTTTGGGGCGAACCTCATCAATTTACGGAGAAAAGTGAAGAGAAGGCAAAATAAAAGAAAGAAAACATAAATGAAAATGAAGAAGAAAATCCGGAAGAGAAAGAAGAGAGATAGATCAATAGGATCATCAATAAGCTCTTAAACTGTTTTTAAAATGACCTAAAAGAAAAGAAAAAATGACGTAAAATATCTCATCAAAAACAGGTCAGTAAAGCGATCCAAGTAGTTGGATATGTAATCGCTTCACACATATGAACTCAGCTTGCAAACTTTTTTTTTTTTTACTGTTCTTTACCAAGAAACCTCTTGACTAGTTATCTCGAAATCTGCAGAACTCACAGTGGCGCTGATAGGCATCACAGGAACCTTAAATTACATACAACGGCTAACAATTACAATTTCAGAGCGAAGAAATCGAATAAGCTACTCAGGAGTTCTGTGGAGAACATTGTGGTTGCTTCTCGTAAATATTATTCGAAGCAAATACGATTAAAACGATATTGAAACATAAAATCAGCGGGGAAAAAAGCTTTAAAAACGACTGGAAAAAGTAAAAAAATGACTTATTACACGAAATCGACGAAAACACAAAATTTGAAATAATAATAGGTCATTTTCTTTCGTCATAACAAAATTATTGTATACACTAAAATACATTGTTCTAAAGTAAAAAATGAAAATATGACAGTTCATTAAAATCCAGCCCCTAGTTATAAATATTAAAAAGTCAAAAATAAAAATTAATTTTATATTTAGCATAAATAAAAAATTATTTATACGGAAAAATCAAATCGTCTGGAAAGAATACTTAACGCCTTTTTTCCACAAAAAATGTTTCTATCCAGTAATTCAAGCATTGCTACAAAGGGTACATAATTTTTAAATAGTTCATGCTGGATGTATAGAATAACGTGAACTGTAACCACCCGAGTGGTTTCCACGTGTGCCGAATGGAATTTGCGGGGCGCTCACCTCAGACCAGTAGTCGGAGCCGAAGGGCGGCGGCGACAGCGAGGGCGGCCCCGAGGACGAAGACGAGGACGTCTCCTCGCCTCCCGCGTCCTCCTCCAGCTCCACCACGGGCTCCAGCTCCATGAACTGCACAACCACGTCCTCAGTCAACTCCTCTGAATTATCCTCCTCTCTCAAAACACACGCACACGCGTGCTCCAGCCCATGAACTGCATAACCACGTTCAGTCAACTCCTCTCAATTCTCCTCCTCTGTCAATACTCACACACACACACACACACACACACAAACACACACACACACTCACACACTCACACTCAGACACTACCGCGGGTTCCAGCTCCATGAACTGCACAACCACGTCCTCAATCAACTCCTCGCCCACGCCTTCTCTCGAGAAACACACACACACACACACACACACACATACACATACGCGCGCGTGAGCTCCAGCCTATGAACTGCCCAACTAGGTTCTCAGTAAACTCCTCTCAATTCTCCTCCCCTCTCAATACACACACACAGACAGACACTCACACAGGTTCCAGCTCTATGAACTGTACAATCTCGTCCTCAGTAACACACACACACACACACACACACACACACACACACACACATACACACTCGCTCTCTCTCACACACACACACAGAACCGCCACCACGCCTCTCGCATATGCGCGTGTGCGGGAGGGAATGAGTATGTGTGTGTGAACGAGACGGAGAAGTGGATTGGAGGAAAAGGAGAGGCACCCGATGAGGCATTGTCCCTTGCTTAGAGAGAGTTCGCGACCCTCGATGTCGGGTAAGAAAGGTGTAATTGTAGGAGTTGGAACAAGATGTCACTGCTCTCGCTTCGCGTCGTGCTTCTGTTTACTCTCTTGCGGGACAAAGGACGACTTTCAGGTCGTGGAGAAGAAAGGAGACGCGATGCTCAAGGATACGATTGAAGACGCTCAAGAACAGTCGTGACCCAGACGAGGAAAAAGCTGTGTATATCGTCTTTAGACAAAGGTGTTATTGTTGTTTATTTTAATGAAGTGAATTCAATATTTACACAAAAACGATAAATGAATTCCACCGTCCAATGACAATAGTATTAGATTCAGAGCGCGATTTGCGACTAATGGGATGTCGGAAAGACGTTCTGCACGGAATATTAAAATACTCTTTGTTTAAGACATATTACACTCATATTTATAATTTCAGTTCATTTTTGTCTCTATCTTTTCTACATATCTACAGTTTTCTATAGACCGAAAAGTACTGTAATTCATTACTTGCTGACCGAGCTTTTTATGCGGAGCTGTATTTATAATTTACGATATTATCCATGTCTTCCAGAGAGCAATTTTTGAAAAGAAATGATTTTACACCTACTCACATAATGACCTATTAATAATTGCAAAAAAGGTCACCGAGAAATTATTGTAAGGAGTTTTATTAATTACATTCTACAATACAGAAACAATTATTTTTTGTGAATAGACACAGTAATTTGAAATTTTGATACAGAGTCACTTGGCGTGAAAATGTTCTCAATATTTCATTAAACCTAAGGATAACAAAAAAACAGAAAAAATAAACCTCTATTCATGCATTGTAAGTCTCTGAGATTTGTAGGAAAATGGTTGTGGAGGCTGTCACTACGCGTGACGATAATTTTTGAATTCGCGGAACGTTCCACGGTGTTTATTCCTTGAAAATGTCAGCCAGAGACGGCAGTTCACGTGAGTGACGGTCTGCAGTAGAACTTTTCCTCTTGTGACACTTGCCAGGACACTCCCGCTGCCAAACTTTCATTGTGAAATGTAGAACGTACGTTAAAAGCGAGAAGTGACCTTGTTTCGAAACATAGTCATTTGTATAATTGCACCAGAAGGTATAACCTTGAAAAGGGAATTATAGTGTCAAATTAAGTGTTTAAAGTTAATTGGAAGGCTTTCCTTTTGAAAAAATGCAGCCGTTCACTGTCAAGAATGGTAGCAAGTTGAGAAGCAATACCTGGATATTTTTGTTGTTTTCATGCGAGTCAAAGAAACCGATTTCAGGTAAAAGCATTACTTTGTTGTCAAGAAGTTAGACGTAACAATATCATTATGCGAAGTTCAATGGACGTTTGAAAAGAAAGGCGCTGGATTGAGAATAATATTTCGCTACGAAAATAGATGTATGCAATATATTAGGGAATCAATATCTGAAATCCCACCATTACATTACTTACAAAGAAATAAACTAAAATGTTGTTACATTTTTTTTAAATATTAAAAGAAAAGAAATATACATTAAATTTTTCCAAAACATAAAGATAGGGTAACTAAATAACAGCACACTTAAGATTACGAAAAAAAAAAAGAATATCTTGAGTGAAATAAGTATATTGTTATTTAACCCGCCAACTTGTAGTGGGCGTTGTGTAGAACCTATTAATAATTCTCCAATTATTTTCTCGTTACAGGTATCGCGTGGGAATTATCGTAAAAATAAAATCGGAATTTAAGAATATAATATCATGATATGAAAATAAAATAAATAATTTTATTAGTGCTTATTAAATGAAGTGTTGATCAAATTCGTTTTGTGTGCTATACTTCGTGTGGTGTGATACGATATTTGGCTTTTCTTTCCTTCCGGAGGTCAAACTTACCCGATAGTACTGTCGCATTTGTTCCTTGCGGCATCGGTTGGCCAGTTGATCCAGTTTCCGATCTTTCACCTGAAAAGGAAAATTAGTTTTCTAGAAACTGTTTAACACATTATGAAAAATGTAATTGCAAAATAATGGGGAACCATCACAAAAAAGTATAAGATGTTAAAGCAAATGCTCAATTTAAGGACATCAAAAACGTGTATCGCCTGCAGATCGATTTCACGCTTAACGCTTAAGTTGTGCGGATTGCCGCTCGGTGATTATCAAGGCGCCAATAACTACTTTTTGTCTTTGATTTCACGACACGAGTAATTCACGAAGTTAGTTTAACATAATCAATTGCTTTATTTCACGGCATTAAATTAACTACCAAGGTTGTAAGTAACATTTTTATTACCCGAGAATAATGAAAAAGTTTTTTTTTTATTTTTTAGATAGTATTGTCGCAGTTTCTCTTATTTAAGACCTGAAAATCACAATTTGTTTGAATAGATAGTTATGAACATAATATATTTTTTCTTATTTTAAATGAAAAGTGGAATTGAGGTTTTGCTTCTCAACTATCTACGATAATGTGAAAATGTAGAAGCGATACATTTAACTAGTACACTGATTTAATGGCTCTGGTAACAATGAACCAGTATAATGTGTTGCTAATGTGAGAATCACTCTTAGAATATAGTCAAATTTGAAATTGTAGGTCTGCGCAAAACAGCGCATGTTGCAAGTCGTATTTTCAGCGTGAAATACTTTACAATGTGTAATTGCAACTTTACACTTCCAGGAAACAGTTCTTTGTTCTATTGAAACTGTCTTGCCTTTTGAACCTCACGAGTTTTAATTAATCAAATTGTAATCTTGTTCTTTCTGTTTTATGTAAAAAGCTACTATTGTCATTTCCGGGGTTGGCGGAAGTCTGAAAGCAAAGGGACAAAGGATTGTTCCATTCCTTGATACGCCCTATTCCCTCAATGCCCACCGTTCTCTTTACCCCACATCTTTTGTTTCCGCCCCACTGAACTTCCTGATTCTCCCGACCCGACCTCATTTCGATCCGCCATTTTGTTCTGCCACTGAACTGATCATTCCTTCACTGCATGTCTAGTCACCGTTCTCTCAGTGTTCCAAATTTTCGCTATTTCCCCACTACATTCCTTAAGGTCATTTCAAACTTCTCCACTCGTCCCCATCACATTGCTGTTCGTTACTGAGTGTGTCGTTATCATTTTCTCACCTTTTCACCGCCTGTCATCTCGCCGCCTTACAACGTTCCCACGTCGGTTATTAACGTTTAATTCTAAGCCGCTTCCGCCGTATTCATCATTCGGATCTCTTATTCTCCGCTCTCCATCTCTACTTAGCATCGAATGATAAGCAATAAAACTTAAATTAAAAATTCTCGGAATCTTTCTTCAATAATTCGATTGTCGCAAACTCTTTGAGATCTTGGTAAGTAACTTATGAGTTTTAAATTTGATAAGTCAAGGGTTAAAATCCATTACACTGATTTAATCAGTCACACTAAATGCGTATTTTGGAGACTATCCACCCTCTACAAGAAACGTAGTGATTTTGAACAACACAGAAAATCTTCCAAAAGCAAAAAAATAGTTTTCAAAACGCATAAATTCCTTAAAGACGATTGGAATGTCTGATTCGAATGTTATTCTACATGCAAACAGGCAAGAATTCCATCGCAATATTTAAAGGATTCTTCTTTGGTCCTATCTTCCATATACGGAAGTTAGGTGACCCATAACGGGTTTTCTTGGGATAAATTATTCAGGGTGGTTTCCCGTTGCCTTCCCTGATATGATGATGATGATGATGATGATGATAGGGGGTGAAAGGACGAACACAATACAACCATGCCCGAGGCGGGACTCGAACCCGCGATATTTCGGTACGAGATCGCTACGGCACAACTGCCTTAGCGATCTTGGCCACCGGATCGGCTTATTTAAAGGATAGACAACTGCAATAGTTCTGTCATTTACAAAGTCCGCGTCTGAAGATTAATTCCTCACGTGACGGAGGCGAGTGTCGCTCGCGCAGAAGGCCCGTCGGCCTGGCTCTGTACCTTGGCGGCCTGGCGCAGCGCCGCGATCTCCTTGTCGCGCTCCTCCACCTGCGCGCGCAGGCGCTGCAGCTCCATCTGCTGCGCGAGGTGCAGCGGCTGCGCGGGCGGCGGCGGCGGCTGCGCGGGCGGGTGCGGCTGGTGCGCCTGGTGAGGTTGATGCGGCTGGTGAGGTTGATGTGGCTGGTGCGGGTGCGGCTGGTGAGGTTGATGCGGCTGGTGTTGGTGCGGCTGGTGATGAGGTTGATGTGGCTGGTGGTGCGGCTGGTGCTGCAGGTGCGGCGGTCGCGGCGCCAGTGGAGGGTGCGGCATGTAAGGCGGCCGCACGCCCTCCAGGCAGTTCTGTAACATGCACATATGGCGTCTACATGAGCGCTTGTGCTGCAACACTTCTACTAACAATTACAACTACATGTCACTAAGTTTCAGATTTGCACTACATAATTATCCAGGTATGTGTCACATTTGTCATTCGTATTTTTTTTTAATTTCGAAAATGTGTACCTAATAATCACAAATTGTTAAAATAACAAAGACATCAAAACCAAAGTCTAACATGTCAAAATCAATATCATCAATGTCAACAACATAAACAACATAAACTGTTCATAATTCGAGTATTCGCTTCTCTATGAAGACAAGTAATCCTTTCATATAAACATATTCAATCCAGTTTCTGCTACATCACTTCACATTTTAATATTTTCACGCTCACATGAATGAAATTTTATATTGGAAGATTAATTTACTTCACATTTTGCAGTAATATGTCTCTCAGAATTTTCCCTCCATAAAATTGACTTCTACTAATTTTATAATTTAATTATGATTCGTATTAATTAAGGACTGGCGTAACATAGGCATTTACTTTTATTTTTTAGTTTATTTCGAGAATTTATAATGGCATTAGTTTCGTTCTATATATTTTAATACACTGAAAGTGTCTTAAACACATAGAAGTTCATAACCGAAGAAACCTATCATTTAGAATAACGACAATATTAAAAATGATTACATGAAACATCAATTTAGTATATTTTCATTGGTTTCAAAGACATACGATATGTAAAAGACCCTATCCCTATTATGTAATGAAGTGTAAAGTGTATATGTTTTCATTGGATTTGAGTCAAGTTTAAGGATCTTCCTTTGCTTCCTCGAGGCTTGAACTTGAAAATAGGCCACGAAGGTCAATAAGTAAAAGTATAAGAGGGACTTTGTGTTCACGCAATTTTATTCTCCATCGTGACTCAACAAACGCGAGAATGAATGAATCAAAAAACTGCATTCTTCACGGCAAGTAATGAGAGATTGAGCACCTGTGTGACACCAATTCCCCGCATTTCTATACACCCCTCCCCCTCCAAAAGAAAACGGATACTCTCTTCGGCAACGAAAAGACGTTTTAACGGTCTACAATGACCCTCTCCAACCAATTCACATACAATCCACGTTTCCCATGTAGAGCAAAAAGTGTGGAGGTGATTAACCTCTTTAGGAGCGAGGAGCGCCTCTAAAGGAAAATCAGGCGTGTCGAGGCGGCGCGGAGCTTACCTCACGAGAGAAAGACGCCTCCGAGGCGGAAGGACGCGCGCGCGCGCCGACGGCAGACCGCAGAGCTTCCATAAAACGTGAGAAGTGGGCCAGGTGGCACCACCGGGCGAACCCGCGTGCGCTGGGAGCTCTTTGACAAAGTCCCACGATTCGATTTGGCGTGATTTAACATATCAAGGACTAAGGGAAGTAACAAGATAAGCCACATCAGACACAAGAAGATTCCCGCTATTCGTAAATGCTAATATTAATACTGAATTTATATTTGTATTACATTTTATAAAGAATTTATATTATATTTTACAAGATTGCCACATCACACACAAGAAGTCTCCAGCCATTCGTAAATGCTAATATTAATTCTAATTGCATATTTATATTAAATTTTATTTAAAATGAAAAGGCGATTACATTTTACACTAATACTTATTCATTTTTGCTACATTCTCATAGATCATATGCACATTTGCGGGAATAAATTATTATTTCGATTTTGGTCAAGACATGAATGGCTTGGTCGAAGTTGATATACTATATGAAGTGTTTGCGGCCTCAAGTAAGCCACACTTCAACCAAAATTGCGATATTAACTTTATCGACTACAATGAGACACCTCCTGTAAGAGGTGTGGCTTTGCCTCTTTACGTACGAAATGCACTATGTACGAAAGACGTCTCCGTGAACTCTGAGAAGTTGCACGGAGCAGGTAAAATGCATGAGCATGACTGTGGATGTGATACGTATTGTCAAATTTTTGCTATTTGTTTAAAAAAAAATGTTCAACTACTCGATTTTATGAGGTACAAACGTATTTCACACGTGATATCTCTTGTAGGTTATTAAGAATAATTCGGGTAACAATTTCGGTCTGCCTCACCTGGTAATTTAAGATTATTTTTCTCTCCAATTACTTATCGTATATGGTCGTATGCGAGATCTTTACGTACGTATTAAATATGAGAATATGCTATTGGCATTATTAACAAATATAACCAGTGTACTTTGATTTTTAATAGTATGCAAATTAATTGGTGTAGATAATAATTTGAACGTAACAACTTTGCAAAGTTTTACAACATTTGTTCCAATGGATATTGCTTGATATTGCAAAATTAATTTCCACAATTCATACAAGACTACTAATAAATTCTTATATTAATAAAATATGTTAGTAAATGACGCCCAAAACGCTCGCTTTATTCATTATTTAACTACGTACTCTCTGTAGTAAGAAATATGGGGTACGGATTCCGGTTCAAAGAAATGAGTAGATTATATTTCTTCATCTCACACTTTTTGTTGTTTTGAAGTTAAATATATTCATACAAACATAAACAAATAAATATTAGATATAACAAATAATAAAGAGGGAAGAACAAACACCCCATTTGCAAGGCAGCTGTCCCACTGTGACGAGCGCTAGCAGAGCGTTCGCCTAGCAGTAACCGACCACGTGCCGTTCGGTTTGCAGCTCGTGAGAATATGATGTATTTGCGTCGGACGAACATCGCTCATGTTTACGAGCCTCGCGTCGCCCGCCTCGTCGACGAGTTCAAGTCCCGCTTAAGCGCATGCGCGAGTATTGCTTAATCACAGTGCGCGACCAATAAGTGACGTTCGGGAATGTGGAAACCTATCATTACCAACATTCACAAGCTTGCAGTAAACACGCGATCTCCATCGCGGAGTAGTAAAGGAGAAAAGTTTATGCGGTGTGTGTAGTTAACTTAACGATTCCCGTTAACTTTCGCCTGTGCAGATAAGATCCTCGCCCGGGCCAATATGCGGCGGAATAACAGTACCCGGGATGACTTATATTCGGGTGATAAAAGCGATGTTTCGTCAGTGCTGGGGGCGAGGAATTTGAATGATTAGTCGCCTGTCGTACACAGTTGCCAACCGAAATTTTAGGAGGGCCATCTGGATTGCTGTTATTTCTCTGAAAGATCCGTTGGCAATTGAGGAGACACTCAAGAGATGTCTTTCATAAATGATTAATGAGACAATGATGATAATGAAAAGAACGTTCCCTGCACATTCATTCATTGGATAAAACTTTAGAATTGAGTTTACACAGATTCTCGGTTCCGTTTGGTCGTGAGCGTTCCCAAACACAAAAGTAAATGTTGGTCATTTCTAAAAAATATTAGTATTAGCATATTTTAACGTCAAAACGCAGAATTGTTTACTCCTTTTCTTGTTACATTCATAATACGAGACTCGTAAGGTAGGAGAGACGAGTTCCTGGGGGGATATCGGAGCTGTCTTCAGCAGTTCGCTGCGTAAATGCAGTAACCCTACTAGATGTAGTATGGCAAGTACTAAATTCATATTTCACAGGATTCGACGAAAGTGGAAACGTCATTCGATGACGTAAACACATAAAGTTAATAAAATAATTATTGTTTTACATGTTCAAATATACATGTTGCACACGTAAGATATAGTATTAGCTTAAGAGTTGAAGTTTATAAATACTTTTTTTCAAATTGTTTTCTGTACACAAAAAAATCATTGATGGCAAGTGTCCAGGTCATGCTTTAGTCAACTGCAAATAGATCTTCAAACAACAATGTAATTATTCTTTAAAGGTACCAACACCACTCCTTACGCCTACATTTTCCGTGGATCAAGATTGTCTTCTGAAGACCACTCGCACCAAACGACCTCAAGGGATTACGCGATGCCGGATAAACACTTTCGGATAATTTATTGAATGGCACGAACGGGTCAGCCATCTTTGTTTAATAGCAGGCGAAGTGGGCCAACTGCACCGCTAGGTGCCCAACGGGCACGGGCGCCCTTACAGAAGGCCGTGCCGCGCCCATCGCCCCGCCCCGCACCGCCCCGCCCCGCACCGCCCCGCTCCGCACCGCACGGCGGCGCCGTCCAAACATTCCGTGCCGGAAGCGCTCGGCGAGGCCCGGCCCTAAAATGGCGGCCGCCGTGAACGCGCTTCGCCGAATGGGACGTTGACTCTTCGGCTCCGCTCGTGACTGCGCAGGTCCCGTTCGGTGTCGTTAAGTAAACAATAACAGTCTTCTTAAATTTGATTGCGTTGGCGCGATAGAGCGGTCGAACTCTTCTTTTTCTGATCTAGCGTTGAAGTGGTAGGATTGTTTAGTGGGGAACAAAGAGATTTATCTCGAGAAGTGCTCGTCATTCAACGTTTGCGTGGGTTGCTGCAAGTGTTGGAGATAGCACAAGGTTTGGCGTTGTATATCTGATGTGTTTTCGACAATATTTAACGACGCATGTAGGGGTAATTGAATCGAAATATGGATATAAATTCAAATGCTGCATATGCTAACCAACACGACTCCCAAAAAAAACTTTTATTTGAAGAAATTTTTCTTCAAATATTTTTTTAAAATATAAAATCATAGTAATTTCAGAACATAATTTGTTACCATCAGCTATTCTCAGATATAGTAGACAATTATTACTTATGTTGGTAATGCAATACCTGTTTAAAATTATGGAATAACTTTTTATGAAAATTTAACAAAAATATGTTGGGCTTGTACGTACTACATCAATACCCTTACAACACCGTGTCTACACCGCCAAATACATATTTTCTATATCCTTTTCTGGTAATATACCCCCAATTGGTCCCCTTTCACAATTTCCAAACAACACTCAATTAACGAGTTCGTTATCCGAATCCACTTATTCACAAAATTCCACCCGCCACGCTGACAGTCCCGCTTAACTGGCGGCATTGTGATTAAAATGAGAATATCTCGGGGATGAATCCGACGCGTTTCAAATGCCAGCGCCAGACGCGTCGTAATTCACCT